AAATATGAGGTACATTTGCAATCTTCCCGTAGCAAATTATCCCTTCAAGTATGAACTTCTTTTTACTGCCGCAGCCTACTGTATGTCTGGGGCGAATGACCAGTCGCAGTCTGCGGTCTGCGTTGAATCAACTTAATGGACTTGAACATTGGTGAGCAGACTCAGTGTGTTAAAGCGTGCGCAGACCGTGCAAAAAGTACAGTATGTTCAAACCAGGTTAATATCATGCAGATTTGTCAAGATCTTTGCCTGTAAATCACATCGTGGCTGTAGTGTCGACCGGAGCATTAATGTGACTATCCATACTGTTCTATCCAGTAGTACTAGACTACTGCATACTGTTGATTCTATAGTGCACAGTACTGTACGTACTGTCATATACTGTACACTGTAGACTGTAGAAGGCCAGAGGCTGCGACCCCGTGGTTGTTCATTTTTTGATACTGTACCCTATGTAAACAACCTTGGAGTTTCTTCTTTGTAGCATGGTAGAATCGATTTGGAAAGAAATCGCTGTGATTGATCTATGCGAATAAGAAATTTTTTCTCTTTTTAGTGGTCTTGTTGACTTGGAAGAGACAGGCCGAGTATTTTGCGGCCATTTCAATTGTACAGTACTGTACAGTATGTCTGCAACCGTGCACTGTTGCCGACGCTTTCAGTGATCAAGTAGTACAATACTGTACTGTAGAAGGAAGGACCATTAATAAGAAAGAAAGAATAAATGCAAAGTCATTTTTGGCTCTGACCGGCCCTCCCTCGTTCTTGATAGTCCCTGATCGAAGGACTACAGCTAAAAGAGAGAGAATCAGATTGGACTAATCGCTGGCAAAAATAATGCCAGTACTCTAGCGTACCGTCTATGGTAACGCGGTAGATTGCCATGAGTGACATTATTTTATTTTTTTGTTGTCTCTGTACAGTTATTATTATTTAACACTGCAGCTCGAAAAATTGAAAAACGATAGTCTACGATGCCTTCATTTGGCTCTACCTGGGCATAGCCCGGCATAGGATAGGTTGGATATACTGTAAGACTACTGAAAGCGTTACAAATCCTTGCTGAAATCAGCTCCATTTCTACAGTGTCCAGTCGTGAACTACAGTAATATATACTGTACGGTACAGCAAGGTGTGATTTACAGTACAGTACTGTAGAATCCGCTGGTTTTCTCCCACTAGCTCATGGGCTCACCGTATCGTACCGATGTACTGTACTGTAGAGTGTAGAGTAGAGTACTGGACCACCTTGACCATGGGCTCACCGTATCGTAGTGCACGCAGTAGAGTAGAGTATACTAAAATAATGGAACACCATGACCATGGGCTCATCGTATCGTGCCGCACAACCCCCAGTTGTCGTAGTGCACAATGTACTGTAGAGTGTAGACTGTAGAGTAGAGTACTGGACCACCTTGACCATGGGCTCACCGTACCGTAGAGTACACTAAAATAATGGAACACCATGACCATGGGCTCATCGTATCGTGCCGCACAACCCCCAGTTGTCGTAGTGCACAATGTACTGTAGAGTGTAGACTGTAGAGTAGAGTACTGGACCACCTTGACCATGGGCTCAGCGTATCGTACCGCACAACCCAGACTTGTCGTAGTGCACAATGTACTGTAGAGTAGAGTACTGGACCGCCTTGACCATGGGCTCAGCGTATCGTACCGCACAACCCAGACTTGTCGTAGTGCACAATGTACTGTAGAGTAGAGTACTGGACCGCCTTGACCATGGGCTCAGCGTATCGTACCGCACAACCCAGACTTGTCGTAGTGCACAGTGTACTGTAGAGTAGAGTACTGGACCGCCTTGACCATGGGCTCAGCGTATCGTACCGCACAACCCCGACTTGTAGTTTAGTGAAAGAAAGGGCGACGCCACCCAAACTACTCTCCAATCCAATACTGTAGCCTATCCACAAGCAACGTGTCCCTGCTAGAGGCTGAGCACTTTTTTCTTGTAACAACACTATCCCTTTTTGGTTAACACACAGTTGGCGCTGGAATCAATCATTGCGATCCTGTTCAGCTTTTCTGCCATTTTAGCTGTATTTAGCTTGGCATCATCGAGCGATTGATTTGTTGAGTTCCGTTAGAATTGATTGGACTAGCTTCGGCAAGTAAGATTGGTTGTTTTAGCTTATGTAGGCGGGGAATGGAGCTTTTTCAAGCGGCCTGGTAACGTTGCGGAAAGAAAGCAGCAAGAGAGGCAATTAGGAAAAGGAGCTCCTCCCTCTCCTTCAGCGCGCAAAAGGAAAGTCCAGCTATTTTAGCTTCGATAATTTCCAAATAACGGTATTCAAGTTATTAAGCGCTTGGCATCAAGCTTCCGAGTCTGATCTATTTCAACCCTGAGTCATTTAAAATTTGCAAACTTTTCTTTTTCTGTTTTTTGTGTAAGTGTGCGTTGATGAGACATTCTTCATGAATTATTAACTGAAAACGTTGGGATAGGTAGTGATTAGCCGAGAGCAACAGTAGTTTATCTTTTCTTTTCTTCCTATAGATTGCATGGGTTGACCGATTCATCGGTAGCCGTTGACATCGCATCCAAGTTGACATCATTGTACGATTGAATCGATAGAACGAGAGGTAAAAAACTAGATGATTATTTCTGACATTATACCTGTAGCGAGTACAAGATTGAAACTGTGTGACAGTTTATCCTTTTCCTATTTTTTGGACAGAGATAAAAGGTAGGCCAGACAAAGTTTATTATAGTTACACCCTAGGTAGCTCCTGTACAATCGAAATCATTCGTTTGATTGATCAAGTCTTTATTGCCGGTCGCCTGTATCCATCGTCATCCTAATAATCTACTGGCCAATCTGATCGATTGATTATTGTAAAATTGGACGACACCCCCCAAAATTGCTTCCATTTGCAATCTTGCTCTAGTCCAACCAAAGGGAAAATATTCCATTTGATTTTTACCCTTATTATTCCATTCTTTTCAATAGACTTTTATCATTATCCGACAGAATATTCGACATGAATCGTACCCAAGGTGCTAATTTATATGTTAAGAATCTCGACGATGCCATTGATGATGCCAGATTAAAAGAAGAATTCTCCAAATTTGGCTCTATTACCAGTGCTAAAGTCATGTGTGACGAAAAAGGTGCATCCAAGGGATTTGGTTTTGTTTGCTTTGCGACACAGGAGGAAGCTAGTAAAGCGATTAACGAAATGAGCGGACGCATTATTGTCTCCAAGCCGTTATATGTAACATTTGCTCAACGCAAGGAAGAACGCAAAGCTTTCTTGGCTTCACAATATAATCATCGTGTTGGTTCTAATCCACCTAATCAGACCCAACAACAACCTTTACCAACACAATCTCAGGTACAATCGCAGCAACAACAACCCCCGCCTCCACCACCACAACAACAACAACCACCACCAACACAGCAAGCTTCACCAAATCCTCCCTATCAACAGCCCAGTAGTTATGCTAGTAATGCACTATCGCCTCAACCTATTCAACAACAACCTCCCAAATTTTATGTACCAATAGCCGCACCTGCTCCTCCTCCACGTCCTGCACCTCAACGATTAACACAGCATCGTTTACTTCATTGGCAACAGCATCCCCAACAAATTCCTACAGGTGCTGTTATTCCAGTCAATTACTCTATAGCACCAGGTGCAGCCATACCAGCTGCTGGACAAATGATGAAAGCTCACCCTAACCGCCATAGCCATCTATCAGCTACATCCAATTTAGGACAACCAGCACCGCCACCTTTACCTCCTCAAGCAACGGTCATTAGACCTCATCAACCACCACGTCAAATTCTTCTAAGTGGTAAACCTGCACCTTTAGCGCAAGTTGCACACTATCCTCGTGGCATGATGACACAAAATATGGATTCTTACCGATTAATAGAACAGAAACAAATGTTAAGTAACAATTTATATTTAATGGTTGCAGAAATATGTGGCAATGAGCGTGCCAATATTGTAACTGGTATGCTATTACAGCACGACCATGCTGAAATTGTTAAAATGTTAGAAAATAAAAAGAAACTAGCTCAAAGAGTTCATGAATTATGCAATATTTTGGATGCTAATGCGCAAAAGCGTGTGCGCTAGCTCCAACGAACGTCAGCGGTAGGTAATACGACGTAAATGGTTCTAGTAATTTTTGCTACTGAATTTTTGTATATAATGACGACGATTTAATTTCCTACCAGATGGACATCTTAATATCAAAGGAGTTAGTTACGATTGAAATTATTGAAATACAATACGATAAGCTCAAATAAAAGGCTTGGATAAAGAGTAATTTAAAAGTGATATTTTTATAAGAAATAGATGAGAAAATTTCGTCAAAGCTAAAAAGTTTAATCCTGCAGTACTCGACGCAAAAGAATGGCTTTGCATAATCTAGCAACTGTCGAAGGGGTCCTTGGTGCTCTATTTGATACTTGATACGTACTTAAAGTTGGCAACCGCATTGGTTAAAAGTTAGCTTAAGTTAACGTCATCCTTATCGTCCTAGCAAATCTAATATTAAAATACTCCTGATGTTATCAATAGTGATGTCTTAATGGAGGAGGTATATTTCGTTCATTTCACGTTTCTCTTGGTGCTAATCAGAATGGAAGGTAATCGAATGGATACCTTTGCGAACTGATGATTAAAACTACGCTGACTCATGCCACTACAGCATTATAGCAACATCCGTTTTTGGACGATACTATCACTTTTATCACGTTGTCAATGATAACTGATACGTTGTATAACTTCTATCAACCTTGTGGACCTTTCTACTAATCGCTAGCGATTGACTAATAGATCAAAATATACAAGAAACGATTTGCTAGAATTGCTACGATCAAGTGACGATGAGTACGAAATGGAGCGTTATAGGAGCTCAAAGCATCTGGCAATTAAGCCTACACCAAATTTTCGTTAACGGAAATTGCTTGTGATGATGTTACCGTCACATTTGTAGAGATATCAAGTTACGGCTAGGTTGAAACTGTCAATATTGGAAAGAATATGGTATCAAATTTGGTCACAAAGTGATCTCTACAGTTATGGTGTGTAGTTCCTAATGATATTGATATCTACATGTTTATGCTAAATCGTTAATTGCAGTCAAGCCAGAAGACGTATTGCATGCCATGACATTAAAACAAGTAAAATTTTGATCGCATGGCATATTTTTAAGTTACTCTATAGTAGATGAGGAATAAGATGGTAGTGATAACGTAACGAATGATTGAACCCTCTCTCCTATTGTACAGTACCATGATTGGTATGGCCAATTTCAATTAATGGTTAGCCACTAGTATTGCTGCAATCTATTTATATTATTAACATAAAGTATTTATCACGACTTTCTGCAGGATATTGGCAATGCAGTGGTAGGAGCGACTTTTTATTTATAAATTGACCATTTTTAATATCCTAATTTTTAGTATCGTAGCGCTAAGATAAAGCAGTGTCTGTGTATAAAGTTTGTAGGCTGATTCTCAGCTACATGATACACTCGAATGTATCATGAATGGCTATTCACTGTTATGAAACCTATTCCAGTCTACAAGTTTCCATTGTTGCTACAAAATCTGACGTATCACAGTTTGAAATAGATTCGTTGTGTTAAAAAAAATTGGTTAATTTGTGAAAGATACGCTTTACTTGCTTGTTTTTTTATACTTCTGCTTACCCATTAGCGGTATCACCTTCGTACTGAACGAGTACTACATTACTGTACAGGGTCTATCGATTAGTAGGTAGCCTGATAGCTACAATCGTACTGCTGTTGCTGTAATTTTGAAAGTATACTGCGTTAATTAGATATGCAAAAATTTTCATAAACTTTTATCACATCAGCTGTCCTTTATACAACAGTTTGAAATCAATGCGATTATTTTTTGCATTAACAGAAGTACTACTATCGAACCCCTTCCTGAATTGGTCATACAAATTGATTAATGTAAATCAAGTATTTACCATATTATACAGTTTTTTTGGTGATTAATCCTTTGTCATGGACTATCTTGTTATGTCTAAGTCATGATTTATTTAATATCGCTTTTTTCAAAGTAATGTTTCCTGCAAATTATGTAGGATTATAGTTAAGAAGTGTCCTTTCTGTAATACTACCTTGTATTCGTTAATATTACTCAAATGCTTCAATATCTTAGCAATGTTAAGCAAATAGATGTTACCTAATACATGAATTATTCTCCAATGGCAGCTTAACTAGCTAGCAGTACACTAGAAATATAGTGCAACCTTTAATTCATAACCTTTTCATTGTGTGGTTAATTAATGATAGAATTATCCATTAATTTGTTGCTACTTTGCCTACTTTTCATGGCTGATGATAAAGTTAAGTAATTCGTATGTTTAGATTGTTAATCTGTAGTTCTATCAACTGATACTCGCAAACTGCTGTGTTACAAAATAATATTGCCAACGTGATACTTTAGTCGTTGGGTAACACATTATTTGTGTTTATAGTAGTAAGTGAAAATTGAGTATTGATATTATGTCAGGTGTAATGGTTTTGGTTAACTAAAGTATGAGTGATACCGCTTGACCAGTAAATTTATTGCCAAAAAAAATTAAGTAGAGTACATATAAGAATGTTGTTGGAAGTAACATGTACATTGTCCACGGTGCAATGTTGCATCCTAATGAAATTGAAAATTACAACAGCACCGCCTTTTGTTTTACTTGTTTTGCTGCAACGCAAACCTATGATTATCTAAACATCTCCAAATTAATTTTAAGATATAATCTGTCGCTTTTTATTAAATACAGCGCAATAAAAGAGCCACTGCAAGGAAAAATTTAGCTAATTGCCATTGCTTAAGGGTTGATAGGGTTATTGTTCGCAATAATTTCACATACAGTACGTAAGCAATGAAGGTGCAAACAATTCGCTCGAGTACAGTAGAAAAACTTTGCATATTTTTCATTTCCTATATTTAACTAAGCTATACTTATAGCTATAGTGAAAACCTTCAGTAAGATATACACTAAAGAAGCAGTGCGTCTTGATGACAAATTTTTGTAGTACTAAAACCTGTTATGTGTTGAGTCAAAATTTATTTTCTGAGCTAAGACAAGGTAAGGCAGCTTAAAATATGTTAATATCTATAAGCTTCTAACAACAAAAGTGGCTATAGCTCTATCTGGGCTAGCCTGAGTGCTGAAGCATCCGATAGGCTGTATAATAAATATCTCTGACGTAGAAGGAACGAATGCAATTAAATATCAATATAAAATTTTCATGTTCGATGGCTGTTTACCTTGCTGGGAATTCTAACAGCTACATGATAATGCTTTTCCTTATCATCTCTGGTAAAAAATATTACACTAGCAGTCGCTGCATAGCTCAACATGCACTGCTGTTGCTTCTTGTTAGATTTGTAATACTTAATTATTATGAGATCATTTTTACTAACGCATATTTGGTGTTATTTCTAAACAAATACCAATATACTGTTAATATTTACTTCTTATTTTCAAGCTTTATCCGCAAAATACTCATATTTTAACACTAAGTGGCAAATGTGTGTATTTTATAGAGCTGTAACAAGCTTTATGTCCAGGCAATCGAGATTTCATTACCACAAGCTATATTAGACATTTTCTTATTGACCAAATTAAAGCTCTTGGGTTGTTTATTAACCGCATCTTCATCATTTCCTACCGGCCCAATTTCTTGACTACCCCAAATGTAAACCTATATAGCAAAAGTTAGGTAGAAATTAAACGATAAGAAATGTTAGTAGACGGATGAGGTATTCGAGATTTATTTTATTTCCGCATGCATTCTGATAGCAAATTAAAGCTTTTGTGTTTCTGTCATGATATAACATAGTTGATTTACCTGTCCATTTTCATCTATAGCCAACGCATGGAACAAGCTAGCCACTACTCTTTTGATTTTTTTACCCTTTAAATCACCTTGAATTTCCCTAGGCTTTACAATTACTTTTTCATTTCCAAGTCCTAGCCTAAAACGATCGCCAGAACCCCTGCAAAAAATGAAATAAAGTACTGTTCTGTCATGTTGAACTTATATTCTTTCTTTCTTGATAAAGTAGGCGAACGCTAACGTCTAAATAAAACAGGATTGACTGCAATTATGGTTAGATCTGGTTAATAGATAACGTACCATGCCCAAACCTTCCCATTCGCACTCACTGCAAAAGATGTTGCATAGCCGCAAGCAACATTTGTTATACCTTTAAAGAAGAGGGCTTCAATTTTTGTAGGCATATAGTATGATGGCATTTCGACTCCATAGCCTAATTCGCCATTGCCACCAAGGCCCCATGACCAAACATCATCACCAGCTACCGCGATAGTATAACATTCTCCGCAAGCAACAGCCATGATATGCTTGCCGTTTAACGACATTATCTTTTGCAAAGTGAAAACGAAGAAAAAATCGAATCAATAATTTAGACAAAGTAAGCTACAAGGAGTTAGTGGCAAATAAAATGCCCGGAAAATTTTCTTGTTATTTAAGCGATTAATATTTACCTTTTTCGGTAGTAGTTGCGCCAGGTTATTCCCATGACCTAATGCTCCGTTTGAACCATCTCCCCAACTAAATATTTTACCATCCGATAGTACGGCTATACTATGCATTGCTCCACAGGCAATTTTCGTAACTTCCTTTGATTTTAACTCATCAATCAATGTAGGGTCCAGATATCCTCTAACAATAACCAAGAAAGCACGGAAAAGGATACATTAGTAAAATAGAATTGGATAACTATTATCTTTGGCTTACTCGCCGAATTAAAATTTAAAGTTATACACATATAATAATTAATTATCGAATATCGAAGCGACAAATTATTAGAAATAGTATCTTTTGCTTCTTACAGCGTATTTCCATGGCCGAGTTGACCGCGATCACCGCAACCCCACGAATAAACTTTACCTTCGGCTGTTAGAGCCATTGCATGTCTACCACCTGGATGAATAGCGACCGTGGTTACCATCACTGGTAAAAGTTGGGGAATCTGTCTAGGTACATTAACATCATCGCAGTTTCCTAAACCAAGACAGCCCATATGCCCTTTACCACAAGCAAAAATGCCACCATTTCTCGAAACAACAAACAAGGAGTCATATCCACAAGCGATATCAGATGGATCCAGATTTTCTAGTAGCTTACTTTTATCAGGTTCGAGCGGATTCTGTCAATTAAAATCCCAAGTAATATATTAACTACCGATTTAATCTTCTCTAATTGCCCTTACCACAATTATTCTTCAAATCCCAATATGGGATGTGCTTCTACGTATATTAAATACCCATCAATAATCACATTTTCTAGTAGACAAAGTGAACTGCGAAAATCTCTTACAGATCCAAATTATAGTGATTTGAAATACGACTGTACGAAGTTGCACGATATGTTAATAAGATATAATGATTCTCAACGGTGATTCCGATGTTATGAGAAATGGAAACAGTAAAAGTACGATGACGTTCGTATAGGATAACGCAACTTGGAAAATCTTTAATATACATCACAGTAAATAACGAATGCCCACTACCGTAATCAGTTATTAATTAGACCCTGAATAGAATTCTAATCTACCGTCAGAATGATTGCAAATACGTGCTTACAGGCATTTTACCATACTTGATAAGCCCCACGGCTCTGATTCTAATCATACGTCAATTGCCTTACCTTTTCATCTGCCGCCAAGAGTAAATTCCGTTTACTTCCCCACACATAAACTTCAGAGGGTTCCACCCTCATCTCTTTATATGGATCTTTAAATCAGTACAATAACTGTTAGCATAATAAACTAAAACGAGAATTTGTTTCTATTTAATTCAGTTGAACCATAGACAAATTAGACGAATCACGTTCCTTTGGGTTCACGAAATGCATAAAAATATTATAGTGGCAGTAGCCAATTTTTTTCCCCATCGTACTCATAGAAATAACAACTGCGTTGTTAATATACGGCATAAAACTAAAGTATTAAATCATTAATGAACATCGTATCTTTTCTCGACTAGAGAAATAGTATCCAAAAAATCAAGAAAAATATCCAAGTATATGAGTAATGCACTGAATATCAACACAACAAGGTACCGTAGCAAGGCGATAATTAATTAACAATATATTATATAGGTTATGTATATTTTAATTACTCTTATATAATCTACAATTTTTAGAAGCTTAATTTGTTTGAGATCACCTTCACTTCTGCTTGAAATGCACTAGATTATTAACATGTTGCAAACCATGTGAAAGTTATACTGTAGTGAGATTTCCTAGTGCGTTGATAAAGCTATTTCGTACTCAAAGAATTAAACATTGAAATAAGTGTGAATTCGATTATAGTTTAGCCGCAGTGGGGTAATGACTAATTATTGTCGATTGGTCGGTAGTCTAGATAAATATTAACGTAAAAGCAAGTACTGTACCAACGCAGCAGTATCGGATAATGAAATTTATTGGTTGGACATTACTAATTTAGAGTAAAATAGTACGAAGGTAATTATATCATTATGATTAATGGCTACTAATGGTAGTAAAGGTATAGTAAGTGGTTAGATATTGAAGTAAGGTAGCGAAGATAGAAGTAATGAAAGACAAACTGTAGTTGGCGATTGTCGAATTAAAATATATTTGATACAATTTTATGCGGTAGATGTAAAATATTAAAATGACGAGAAGAATTTGTCCAGGAATAGTCTAGGTGATTATTACATTCTTGTAATAGAAATGAATATCAAAAGAATTCGCAAGTAATGCTATTTTCCTAGTAAAGTGTAAACAAAAAGCTTCCTCTATGCGACTAAGTTTAGAGACGTTCTTAATCTTATAATATCATAAAAAATTACAGCAGAAGATGAAAATGAACATAATCAGCACTGACAATATTATTTATTATTCAACTATTGCCTCGTATATATTACAATTGGATCTTCTAATACAAACATGATAAATAGGAATAGAATAGCAACGGCCATGTTGTCAATATTGAACGATAACGGATACCTGTTCTGCTTTTTTCCACATCGATTCCTCTTTTAAGTAGCTCTTCTTTTAAGCGAATACTTGGCTGTTTGTTAACACAGTTTTTACTACACAATACACTTAAAAATGTGTAAAAATCTCCTAAAGTACCAGAGTAAATCTGCAAGAGTAATTTTTCATTTTTAGCCCTCTCGAAAGGTACTGCTACACCCTGTCCAACTAATAAATCAACCGGTATAACGCCTTTTTCAAATAATTGATGGAGTACATCATCAGTAGGTATGGTATAGATCAGATTCATATGGCATGCTTTTAAAGCTTGGAATTCAGGGGTACCTTTTAGAGGTTTATTTGGCATCGCCATAGTATTACTTGATTAACCGTAGACGGAACAGTTTTGCATTGAAAGGTAAAGTAATTTCGGCTAGCAGATTGATGGAGTTTTCTCCAAGTTCAACCTATAGCTTTATTGCATACTACTGGTAATACTAATAGATTACGTCATGATTGCGATACAATATGGAAAATCATCAAGATTTTGAGGTAGAGCACTGCAGTATGGAATAGGAGTATTACTTATAATAATAACATTATTAATAATGGAGTACACGTATGGCGAATCATGTGATGTTTTATCCAGGACATAGAATATGCTATAGTAGGTTACGGAATAATTAATGAAGTAAAGAGTCTGTACTTTTGGGCGTCTGTAAATATACATAAAATTGGAAAGAAAAAGGCAATCACGGATAAATATGGATAAATGGAATTTATGAATGACTTAATATCTACTTATCGCATATCTGTATGAATGCATTTATGACTAAATTTTAATTTATACCCATTCATAGCATATATACGTCATAATACGGCTCTAAATTTTACATTTTTAGCTATTAAAAATGAATATGCTGAAAAAGAAGAAGGGAGTCACGAAAACATAATGCATGAACGAAAGAAAACATTTATTAATGCCTACTTATAGCTAAGCTACGGATGTAGGATTCGAATGTTCTATTAAGACCTAAACTTGTTTTGGGCCATGTTAAGATACACTCACTCGTATTATATTGCATTTCGAGTAAAACTTGCATAAATATGACATTGCGTCATTAATAATATGAGGCTGGTGATTTTCTATAGACTTTTTTGTATAGAGATTCCTGTTCCGAGGTATAACGGAATTTATTAGTCAATTACTCATATTTTAAAATCTCTACCGCTCAAAAAAATTAGATAGGCTAAATTTCAAATAATGCTACTGTAAATAAACTACTGAATTTTTGAAATTATTGATGTAGATAGGCAATAGATGAATGTATGTAGGATTGTACGTCAGTTATTTGGGGTGTAGCTTAATCTCTATATAGGTTACTTAAAATCTGATATATATTACATCGAAGTCGATCAGCATGGATATTGCTTTCAGATATTGCTTGAAATTTTATCAAGACTAGAATAAAATAAGACATTACTTCATTAGATCACCGGATTGATGTCGTTCTGCATCCTTTTCGTGTAGATCCTTATCATTTTGAAGCTAATAGATTTAGTGGATTGACCAATCATATTTTAAAATCGGAAGAAATCCGATAAAGTGATATTGTACAATATTTTGTCAATGTATAATTCAATTTTGTAACTGTTAGTATGAAAATTATGATAGCAATTGACAGTTACCTACGCATAAATTATGGAGATATTTCCATTTTATCATCAGCTAGGATGGTACTAATAATGTGAGGTTCAACTGTTTATCCAAAACCAGTCATATAAGCAGTTTATTCCAATTGCTTTGCGAACGATTGCTTTTATTAAGAATAGCAGAAAGATATATGAGAGTGATTATACTAACTAGTACAATGTGAAAATGATGTACCTTTCCTTATCGAGTGTTCTCTGAAAATTAATTAATGTAATATGAAAATATTGTACACCTACGGCGAGTTCAACGTTCTTTATCCTAGAATAATTGACCTAATAGTCAACTCAAGAAATTATAGTTTATGGACTACTGTGTATTGAGTTAACATTCTTATTGGGCTTGTAGATAAGCATAAAATTAAAAAAATAATCTTGAATAAATAACGAAACATGAAATTGACTAAATGATAAGATCATACGGTACTTTCTTATAATTTCGTAACTTATTCCGAATTATATTTCATATGTATGTGTTGCATTTATACTCACATATCATAAACTGACTTAAACTTGTTCCGGCCTATTGTAGTTAAATTATTGAAAAAGAAGTCGCTATCAATGAAAAATGATACATGAAAATATTACAACGATTAATGTTATCTCGTATCTTTAAATCATTCTTTCGTAGGCTACTTTACTATTGTAGTATTTTTCAAAGAATACAACTAAGTGGCAGAGTTTGCATTACTGATTAAAAGAGATACTGGCAGATATATCAAGTATAATAATTATTATTATTATCCGTATTGCTTATATTACTCTAAAGAGCAACTATACCGATTGAATTGCTAGTTTAATATCATGTTGGTGTATCACATGAATATTTAATATTAACGTATTGCTAAAAGAGATACTGTACTGTATTTAACTATTTCGTTTATAACATAAATGACTAGCAAGTAAAACTCGCTACCTTAACAGATCTAGATCATCATAATAGGATTACACTATGCATTGCATACCTATAATTCCTGTAATGTGCTATTAATTTACAGCAGATAGGAGGTAGAAAGGGATAAGATAAACTATTGATCTATTTTGCCGCATAAAAGGAAAAATACAATAATCTACTCGTATTATAAGGCTACAGTGTGCCTGTATGTTCACCTACATTATATTACATTATTGCACTAAGTAATTCTTTATTCAATTACGGGTACGTACAACAATTTTTGATTTAAATTTGCTTGAGCGGTATAGAATTTCATTGTATTGTTTATGCCATTTAGCAAAATTATTCTAAATTTTTATTTTCTTTGAAAGAAGGTTGACAAAACGCTTCTTCTTATTAATACGCACAATATTGGGATAATTGCAATCTGAGTTAATAGCAAAATCTCGTGAGATTCCTCATGCATAGAGGCAACTTCCTTATGATTGCCTCGATTATCAGAAGTAGCTCTCAGAGTATTATATTATGCAGCAGCATAGTGTGATGACGACGAAAATATCTATAATAAGAGTATTTTACAATTTCTGACATATAGAAAGAGCTTTATTGTACTTGCCCTGATTTTTATAAATACTTACGATGTTGCTATAAGATTTCACAAGTTCAGAAAGATTGTCCTCGCGGAAAATAATCGAATTTTGAGTGATTTTTCAAGTGCTGAAATAAGTTCTTCATATTTATCTTGATTAGAATAGATGCCCCTTATATTGCTGTTTGATTATAGATATAAACTATCATAAGCATTCTTTCGCGTTTATAATTCTCTCCTGCTGCACTTTCTATATAATTTTAAAAAGTACTTCTTACGCCTCTATCGCATCAGATAGATCTACTAATTACACAATAAGCTTGTAAATTTTACATCATTTTACATTACTTTACTATAGCTACTTAACTAGTTGATGACGTATATCTAGGCTGTAACCTAGCATGATTCAACACATGCAGTAAATACCATTCTTTTCTTCTACTAACCTTATGTAATTTCTTGCTATTAGTTTATTTGTAGAGAACACCAATGTTACTCTAGGATGTAGTAACATAAAAATAATTGTGATCAAAGACTGATTATAAAATTTGAAAAGATTTTTAAGCAAATGGAGAATATTATAGCAATCATAGCCTAATAGTTGTTTAAAGCTTGACTTTTTAAAACTAGCAATCACTTAAACACTAACTAAAATCAGGAAAAATCACCAGTTTATTATAATTTCAGCAGTAAATTTGCAAACATGCTGAAAGAATTACAGGAAAGGCAGATGGCCTTGCCTTGACCAAAGTATTGAAAAAAAATGGAAATTACTCACGATGTAAGGGTAAGGGTAATAATCTATTTGGTATCTCCTTAGCTTTGGAATTCACGAGCTTTTCAAGTACTCGATTACCAGATTATCGAACTACACCACCTCTTATATACTATGTAGTCAATAGATAAGTATCGCCAATATCTTCATCATCCTCAACTAAACGATATAAATCTAGCGATTCGATATCATCATCCAGTGCTCTATCCAATCCAAGTAATTGCATAATTCTTGCTTGACTGTGTAGACATCCAGCCGTGATCATTCCTTCCTTTAGTTTTTTTGCTATTTTTAGTGCACTTTAATTCAATTCCTTTGCTTCTATCCATTTCCCAAGCTCTCTATATATATCACTGATGAGAAGGTAAACATCACATCGAAATCAATCAAGATCTGCGGTAATTCTGGGTAGAGCTTGAATTTTATCCAACACTTGTATAGCAGAACACAAAGCTTCTATATGAAAGTCTGATTCATAATTTTCTACACTCTTTCGTAAAGAGACTTAATTTGTTGAGGAATCGCAGACATGACAGATCGATTGCTCATGCTGAAAATGTGAAAAGTAGGAATAGCTTTCCCGTTGCACACAATTAAGTGAATGAATAATTCAGCTGTTTGACCTTCGATACAACTAGAACAAAAATGTAATAGCTGTTGATAGAAGCTTTCTGTATTTTAGTAGTTTATCCTATTAGACAATCCGCGAAGACTGTATTACTGTACTATAATAAATTCTGATGACATCTATTTATCATAGAGATAATTTTTATTTAAGTTGCATTATAAGATTTTTTATTTGCTGGTGAGATGAAAGGAAAGCGCTTTTAGTTAGAGTATTCTACAATTAGCATGATAAAAGGAAAATTGCACAGTATCATCAAAATTTTTTATATATACTATACGCCCAAACTGATGTTCGCATTCAGAGTAAGTAAATGGCATCATAATATTCGTTTAATAAATTGCTCTAATGATGGTGAGTAACCTATTTAATATACTGTACCCCACTAAAACTCTACCGCTGGCATATTCAGACCTAATTTTTGTAATCTATAAAAATAAGCTATGACAGTTAATGGTAATATCGAATGGCGAATGCTGTAAACAACTTTTTAAAAGCAATGGCTATTGCTGCGCTATTGAATACTATTGTAGATTAAAGTATAAAATTATTATACATCTGTTACGAATTGCCCTTTCGAACGGGTCTTAAACGCTATTATCACGACTACTCGTGTCCCCAACTGACTTAGGCGACTTATCGTAGTTGAACTAACACTCGACTACACAGATAAGCTGCCAACGGGTAATAGGTTTAAGGACTTTACTTTACGGAGATAAATCCTAGTAAAAGAATCTACTAGATCCGCTGGATTACACTTAGGTATTAGTATTCAATTACTTAGACGTTAACCTTATCAATAAACAAGTATTCATTAACGCTT